GCATCAAAAGTGCTGTCAAATAGATTTGTCGATATCAACAAAAAGAAAAACATTATGCGATTATACAGAAAATTGCGACTGACAATATCATTATTTGAAGTAATAATAATGTAGCGGACATAAGTTCCTTTTTGCAGAAATGTCATAAAACTAATAATTTTATAACTATTCCAATAGAATCTGTAATATAAGTATGTATCTATATTGAAGTCGATAACATTTATATATGCCTATTAATAAAAAAAGAAATAGAATAAAATATCCTAAAACTTTTAAACTCCTAAACTCTTTTTAATAAAATATTCTTTAGTATATTTTATATCGTCATTAGCAACATTACTTTTTAATAAAATATCCTTTAGTATATTTTATATCATTGTTAGCAACTTGTAGCATAAGAAATATTAAAAAACTCATTAGCATTGCGAAGTTTATAGTAGACTTAAAAACTTCGCTGCATAATTTCGTCTCCCGCGCTATAAGGCTTAAAATAGGTTTTCGTATTACTATAAGATTAATAGAGCCCAAAAAACGTTGTTAGCAGCGCTATGATAGAACTTGTAGTAAAAGGAATATTAAAGGATCCATATATTAGCACTGCGAGATTTATAATAGACTTGAATTTCTACTCGGGTTTAACCGTTAAATACGAATTTGTTCTTTAAATTTGGCTATTATGTTATAATTTTGAGAAAAAATAGGGTCAGAAATGGTAATTTGAAGAATTTAGAAATATTGTAGAAGCAGCAAAAAATTTATTTTTTAAATTTTATTAATGTCATGTAAAAATATATACTTTAAACTTTAAAAAACATTTTTTTTTATTTCTGTACGACTTTTTGTTTGGCAAACAGCCAGATTACTTGATTTAACTAATCTTCAAAAATTAATATCTCAATTATTATTACAATATCGCAAAATGATATGCGACGTTTTTATTTACTTCAAATCATGCTATGCTCTCATGAGCGGTGGCAAAAGTCTAGAACATTCTGTGTAAAATAGAATATCTATCTGTCTGTTTATATGTACCTTAATGTTTATATGTACCTTAATGTTTCCTAAAACTTTTAACTGATCTGAATCAAATTTTGCATAGTTACTCTCTCTAGGACTCCGCGGAGAATATTGGCTATCATAAAACCTGGTTACACCCTTTCCTCCTAATTTCATCCTCTTGACACTTCGTGACAACCTATACAATGCCGGATTGTTTAAATTAATAGTCTACATTATGGACTGACAGGTATATACAATTATTAAAATTATTGCTGTTTTATTTAGTAGTTTATCTAATTTACTTTGCATATATGTATATTATTATAGTTCTTATATGTATACAGGGTGTATCGAAAGTCTCATCCTTTAATCCCTTGGATCTTGGAAATGACTTTAGATATATCAGGACCTTGAATAAATTCTCGCTGTTTTCCAATAAATGACGTTACCAGAACTGCGTGCGTATAGTTTAAGATGGTAACGCATCTATAAGGAAATACCAGGAAGGTATCTATAAGCAAGCTTGAAATTCAGTGTATGTAATTTCGCCGAAGTGTAAATAACTTTTTTTTTCATAGTGTTAAACATGTCGAGTTTCGTGCCAAAAAAAGAGTATTTGCGGGGATTTTACTGCACTACTTTATTCAAAAAAAATCTGCAGCTGAAGCACACAGAATTCTTGTTAAGACTTACGGCGACCATGCTCTGTCGGAAACAACATGCAGAGATTGGTTTAGACGCTTCAAAAATAATGATTTTGATGTTGAAGATAAAGAACGCTCTGGCGCACCGAAAAAGTTTGAAGACGAAGAATTGGAGCCATTACTTTATGAAGACTCATGTCAGACGCTAGCTGAACTTGCAGAATCATTAGGAGTTGATCATACAACGCTTGCTTCGCTACGTGTCGCAGATGTTCAGACGGTCTCGCTGTTTATTTTCCTCGAAGACGCGTTGTCTTTTAACACTCCGTTTTACGGTCCTATGCGTTTCTTGTGTTTTTCGTAACAATCTCTTTTTGATCGTTACAAATAAATAACCTCTTATTGCAACTAAAATATATTTTAATAAATATATTTATTTAGATTAAATAAATTTTTTTATTAGTATACCACATCAGAGAGAATCTAAACAGAATGGAGCGGATCGTGTTCTCTTCTTTGATTGGTGCTGCCATTAATTAGGTAACTTTCGTAAATATTATATATATATATATATATATATATATATATA